TTGGGCGATAGGGCCATAGGGCTGTTGGGCTATAGGGCGATGGAGCTGTGGGGCTTTAGGGCCATGGGGCTACAGGGCTATTGGGCCATAGGGCTATAGGTCCATAAGGCTATAGGCCTATAGGGGCATAGGGCTATAAGGCTGTAGGGCTATAGGGCTATGGAGCTATGGGGCTCTGGGGCTATGAGGCTATAGGGCCACAGGGCTATGAGTCTATAGAGCTATGGGGCTATAGGGCTATAAGGCCGTAAGGCTGTAGGGCTATAGGGCTGTAGGGCTATTGGGCGGTAGGGCTGTAGGGCTATTGGGCCATGGGGCTATAGGGCTATAAGGCTATAGGGCTATAGGGCTACAGGGCTATAGTGCTATGGGGCTATAGGGATATAGGGCTATAAGGCTATGGGGCTACAAGGCACCGTGGCACCCGGGCGCACAGGCACCCAGGCATTCGGGCACCCAGGTACCTGGGCACCCAGGCATCCGGGCACCCGGGCGGGCCGCGGAAATCGGTGGCAAACTAATCTAACCACATGAATCCGCTAGGACCCCTACAAAAGCAAGCTCTGATTGGGGAATTCGTATCAAGCCTCATGCTAACACGAATATCCTGAACTGTCATACACAACCCAGAGGGGAGAACGCTCGATGCTCGATCTTCGAGCCTCGATCAAGAAACCTCGAGCGACGACGACGACAGGCCATCCACACCGCGCAGCACCTCCTCGCCTGGCTCTCGGCGGCGCGCAGAAGTGGGTGGAGCGAGGTGAGTGGAGGCCTTCTTAGAACGGCAGGGGCCTTCTTGGACGCCCTCCTGGCTTCTAGGACGCCCTCTTCGAAACCAACGAGGGCTTCTAAGGGAGCTCCCTCCCTGCCTCCCGCGAAGACCGCGATCCCCCTCGCCCGACCCCCCCCCGCCCAAGCCCTTTCGCAACCGGCCTCTCGGCTGCCCGCGCAAGGCCACGGGCGAGCAACCTCAGCAATCCGATGCGATGTTTTTCGGTTTCCATGCGCCCCCCTCTCTCCCCTGGGTCGTTTGTGCATGTCCCAGGGCCCGAGAAAGGCCCCTAGAGGCCAGCAGCAGCCTAGGCCTCGTACATGGGGTCGGAGCAGATGGGGTGGGGGGATCGCGCCGCATCGCCGATGCATCGCCGATGCATCGCCGATGCGAAGCCCGCTTTCCTTCACGCCGACGTCGCCAATGCACCGCCGACGTCGCCGATGCATCAGCGATGCGGCGCGGTCCGCCGACCCCATCTACTCCGACCCCGTTTGGGAGGCCTCTGAACAGATGGTCCTGCTCTCCACCGCCACCACCATAAGTTGGAGGGGGGGAGGAGGAGGAGGAGGAGGAGGAGGAGGATGAGGAGGAGGAGGAAGAAAAAGAAGAAGACGAAGAGGAATACTAGTAATAAGAATACTAAGAATACGAATACTAATACTAATAATAATATTATGAATACTAATTTTAAGAAGAAGAATAATAATACTAATACTCAGAATAAGAATAACAATCATACGAATAATGATAATACCAAGAAGAATGATATAATTAATCATAAGAAAAATAAGCATACTAGTAATACTACTAAGAAGAATAATGCGACGAATCATAACAATCTTAATAATAACAATAACAATAACAACAATAACAACAATATTAATAGTAATATTAATAATAATAATAATAATATTAATACTAATAATAACAATAATACTAATAGTAATAATAATGATAATAATGATAATGATAATAATAGTAATAATAATAAGAGGACGAAGAAGAGGAGGAGGAGGAGGAGGAGGAGGAGGAGGAGGAGGAGGACGAATAAGAGGAGGATGAGGAGGAGATGGAGGGGGAGGAGGACCCCCCCTCCAACTTCTAGTGGTGGTGGTGGTGGAAGACACGCCCATTGTGAGCACTCCCAGACCTCCGTCTCGCGGTGCTCCAGGCGCGGGATGTCTGGGCCACGCCCCTCTCCGCGTGCCGTGCCGCGCGGCGAGGCGGCCCGCGCAGGCCACCGCGTGAGGGGCCACCAGCACGGGGCCCAGACCTGTACACCACCACCACCTCCCTCCACCTCCCTCCCTGCCTCCCTCCCTCCCTCCCTCCCTCCTTCCCTCCCACCACCTCCCACCAGCTCCCTCCACCTCCCTCCACCTCCCTCCCTCCCTCCCTCCCTCGCTCCCGCCCCCCTCCCAGGAAGGGGCAGAGGGATCCGAGGGCAGAGGAGGGAGGAGGAGGAGTCGACGTGGTGGTGGTGGTGGTTGTGACTACTCTTGGGGCCCAGACACAGACACCACAGCCACCTCCCTCCCCCCCTTCTCCCCCAGGAAAGGGGAGAGGAATCTGAGGGCAGAGGAGGGAGGAGGAAGATCGACGTGGTGTGTGTGTGTGTGTGTGTGTGTGCGTGTGTACTCTTCGGGCCCGCGGCCGTGCACCGCCGTGCGCGAGGGCCCCCCCCCCGCCGCTCCAAGAGAGACCCGCCGGCCGAGGCTCCGCCTCGCGGACGCGCAGCCCGTGCCGATGATTCGCCTCGACTTCATGCTGCTGCGCACCGGGGCGGGCGAGGCGCGGCCAACAGAACGAGCGGCACCGCCCCAGCTGCGGCCCGCCACGCTGCGCGCTACGGCCCGTCGGGGGCCGCAGCGTGTACCAGGCAAGAGCCCACGCCAGATGTCCCGGCATACGCTGCGGCCCGTCGGGCCGCGGGTGGGGTGATGCCGTTGGTTTTCTGGTCCAGAGGCCTGCGTGACCTTCGGCGAGTTCTGCGAGATGGGCGCCTGCTGCCTGGGCTGGGAGGAGCGGCGCGGCCGGATGGGGGGGGGGGGGGCTCGGGAGCGTGGACCCACTGGTCGGGCCTCCGAGAGCCGAGGCTCGTTGGGTCCGGATGCTCCCGTGTTCAACTTCTGAGGTCTCCGCAGGCCCTGGGGGGGTCTCGGGACGCCCCTGGGAGATCTCCCCCTGAGATCTCCGGGGGGCGGCGGGGGAGAGGGGGGAGGCCAGGGTATTTCGGAAGCACCTCGAGGATCCATCGAGGATCGAGGCTTCTGGATGCCCCTCTCCGCTTCGCGGCCTCCACGCGGGCTCGCCCCGTCGCCACGGCGCCGCGGCTCGCGGCAAAGCTCTGGCCAGGACGCGCTCCAGGGCTGGTCTGGGGGTCGGTTCGTTCGGTGTTCGACCATGGACCCCCTTGGTGAAGGCCACCGTCCAGCTTTCGCGCCGGCAGCCGCCAGAGGCCGCCGAAGACCGCCAGAGCGACCGCAAAGGACCGACGAAGAGACCGCCAGAGACCATCTGCAGACCGCCAGAGACCACCGACGACCGTCATTAAGAGCGCCAGAGTCCGCCGAAGACCGCCCGTGGCCGATGGGCAACAAGGGTTAAGATGTTCACACCTACTCCAGCCTTGATCACCAGAGCGAATTTCGAGCACCAAGAAAGCGTCGCAACTGGAGGGCTTTCACGTGTCGGGCCCTGGGAGGCGATACTCGTTCGACGCTTCGCCAGCGTGTCGGGCAGACACTGCTTCGATTATTTTCTGGGTGCTCGAAATTATATCTGGAATGTGGTCCTCAAGTGCGATGGGGAGTCCATGGTCGGACACGCAGGATTCAAGGGGGGGAGGGGGGGGCAGTCCAGACCCTCACAGTCCACCCGCAGGGCAAGGCTGGGCAAGTCTTTCCCCAGGGTGCCCTCGCATATAGCCTGGCCTCCTCGCTCCATATCCTTGGCCGCTCTCGTGGGCCGCGCCACGCTCGAGAAGCTTCGAGATGGGCGTCCAGGGCCCTCGCATCCCTCTCGCGCGTCCTTCTGCTACGGGTTATCAGCGAGCGAAGAAAGGTATAAAATAGACTTTCCGCCGTCGGGGACACCTGCCCCTGGGCGGCTGGAAAGTTTATACCCCTACGGTGCCACCGTAAGGGTATAAACTTTCCAGCCGCCCAGGGGCAGGCGCCCCCGACAGCGAAAAAGTTTATTTTATAACGTTTGGCTGTAGCGGCTCGAGGCCATCGCGCCAGATGCCGTGCTGCATGCAGAGACGCCGGCCCCGCCCGCCGGCCCTCATCGTGCCCGCCGCCAGCCGCGCGGAGGCCCCTCGAGAGCTCTCCGCAGGCCACTAACCAGAGGCCCCAGCTGGGAGGCGTCCGGAGAGGGAGGCCCCCCTTCTCCTCCCCCCCTCCTCCATATTCCTCCTCCTCCTCCTCTCCTCCTCCTCCATATCCTCCTCTCCTCCTCCCCCTCCTCCATATCCTCCTCCTCCTCCTCCCCCTCCTCTCCTCCTCCTCCTCCTCCTCCTCCTCCTCCATATCCTCCTCCTCCTCCTCCTCCTCCTCCTCCTCCCTGGGGGCTTTCACAGGCCCTCTGCAGGCCGAGAGCCTATAGATTCGAACGGGGCCCCGGCCAGCGAGCGCGGCTCGGGCCATTTTCCGATGGCGCACCGGAGGACGGCCTCGAGAGTCCCGAGCGCCGTGTATGGCCTCTGCCCTCGGACCTGCGTGGACGCCTGGTGTGCCTCCGACCGGTGTCGGGGCCACGCGAAGCCGTGCCCACCTTGCCACACCGCTTTAGCTGGTGACACCCTTCGGACGGGGCTTTGGCGAGGATGAGTCCGTTCCAGAGCGTTCCGAAAACGCTCTCAGAGCGTTCCGGAACGCTCCGGGAAGGCCGCGGCGCCCAAGACATCCCCCAGAGCCGCCAGATCTCAGAGACTCGATATACAGTGGGGGCACGTGCCAAGAAACACCCTGCTTGCCTCCAGGGGGCCCTGGGTTTCTTGGGTTTCGATGGTTTTGCGATGGAAAGCGCAACGTTCCCACATCCAAACTCAATGGACGTCCGGGTGTCTCAGGGTTGGGTTTCTGGCGGAAGGTTTCTTGTGGACTGGCCTCCACTATACCTGGAGGCTTCCACAGGCCCCCTCAAGCCGAAAGCCCAGATCCTCCTGCTTTGCCCGCGCCCCCCTGACCCCTCCGCCACGCCCTACTCAGTCGCGCGCCAGTGCTAAAAGGGACAGGAGATCTCCGCATGATCGAGCGTAGGCTGCGTCCTATCGCCAAGGTGAGGCATGCCCCAGACCTCCCCTTGGAGCCGACGTCGCAGACAACGCAGCCTGGCGAAGGACTCATCCGGATGCAGCTGCGAGCATCGCGAGGCAGGTGCACAGGAGGAGGGGGGCCAGCACAAGGACTGCGGCGTCGATAGGCAAGGAGCAGCGGGCACAGGCTCGCGGGGGGATGTTTTGTTCGGCCCGAGCCCCGAGCGCAGCCGTTGTCGTGCCCATCTCCTCGTCGGCTCTTCCTCTCCCCCCCCTTGTTTCCGTTGTGCGTTGCGTCCCCGCCCGCCTGGCGCCACGATGCGCGTGAGGGGTGTGCCGAATCGGGTGCAGGTCGGGTGCGCCATGCGGACTGTGCCGCTGGGACCTCCGGCAGAGGCAGGGATGGGAGGAGGAGCGGGAGGAGGAGGAGGAGGAGCGGCCAGCGGCAAAAACCCCGGCCTGAGCCTTCGACCCCGAGTTTCTGCTTCGATCTCCGTGCCGGCTCGGCCCGTGAGTGCCCAGGGGGGCCCGAACCTCGGCGGACCCCCCCCGCTCGGTGCGAGAGAACGGTGGCGCCCAGGCCTCAGCGCCCCCCCCCCCTCTTCGGTGCGCTGCCCCCAGGAGGGTCCGCCGACCATCTGGCGCGCCGCGCTCGACCGCGCCCTCGAGTGACCCGCGGCAGCGGCCCGCGGCCGCGGCGCTGCCGCGGCGACGGGCGGCGGCGGGCGGCGCTGCGCTCGAGCGCAGGGCCCGCGGCGGCGGCCGCGGCGGCGACCCGCCGGGCGGCGCCGGGCGGCGGCGGGCGGGCCTACTCGCCCAGAGCGCGGGCGGCCGCGGGGCCACCTGTCGGGGCCTCTGCCGAGGCTCGGGCCAGCTGTCGGGGGTCCCAGCCCCTCCCCGCTGCCGGCCCTGCCCCCTATACAGTCGGGGCCCTGAAGAAGGAACCCTTTTTGTTGGGGAGGGGCTCCGTGTTCCTGAGTTGCTTTACAGTGCTCCTTGGGCTTTCCGGAGTTTTTCCATGGGAAATCGGAGTTTAATACATGGGAACAAGGGGCCTCGTTCCTTGTTTATCGTTCCTTAGGTCAACGCCCCGACTGTCGGCCCCCCCCGGGCCTTCTCCGGGGGAGGGCGGGCCTGCGCGCCCAGGGCGAAGAGGCGGGCTCGGGCCTCTGCCTGTCGGGGTCCGAGAGCCCCTCCTCCGTCGCCGTCTTGCCCCGTGCTCCTCCCTCCTCGGCCTTCTCCGGGTCCTCCCGCCGCTGTTGCCGAGCCTCCTCGGCGGGGAGGGGGCCTCCCCCCCCCCGACTCCCCTCGGGGTGCCTCTCCCGGGGGGGCCGGGCGGGGGAGGCCGGGCGAGGCGGGCCGAGGGAGGCCTCCCTTCCCGGGCTGTTCTCTGGCTGCTGTCCCCGCGGCACCGATTCCCGGCCCACGGAGGGCGCCAGCGAAGCCTCTTGCCCATCCACCTCCTCCTCCACCTGCTGCTGCTCCTCCTCCAAGGCGGAGGAGCCTCCCTTTCCGATTGCACAGCCGACGACGAGGCGACTCCTGCAGGTGCCGTATGGGGACCGCTGTGCTCTCTGAGACGCCCTGGACGGCGGATGTGAAAGGATCCACTCCAATGGGAGGGGACGTGTGTCGGAGGGGCAGGATGCCAGAGGTGCCGCAAGGGCATGTAGCTCGCCCTTCTCCTCTCTCCCTCTTTCCCCCTCCCCCCCTATGCCCCTCCCTCCGCCCTCCCTCCCGCCCTCCGCCTTCCTATTCCATCACTGGAGGTCCGCGCTGGCCTCTCCTCCAAAGGGCTGCCAAGACTGACCGTCGGTGATCGCAGGCCCACCTATCGTGGGAACTCTCATTCGTGGGCTCCTCTTCCCGGGCCGAACGAGAGGGGGAAATGGGGAAAGGGGGGGGGGTACGAAATCTGCTGCTTAGCCTCGCTTGGCTGGTTACGGCTTGCGGGGCGGGGGTCCCATTACTCACGCGCCGCGTGCGTTCTCGAGGTGACGGGGAGGGGGCAAGGGGCCGACATCCCCGTCGTGAAGCAAGAGTATCTTCAGCCGTTGCCGCGGGGCCCAGACATCCGAGGTTTCCGACGACGTCGGAAACCTCCTCGAAATCAGCTCCCTGGGGTCGGGTTGGGTCGGGCCGTGAGTCAAGAGCTGGCCCGGATTCCCTGCCCACAGCATCCCCCTCAAAGCGCCACACTTGCAAATCTCTCCCCCCGTCTTTCCTCCTCTCCGTTGCCTTTGGCCCAGGCCGTGCAGCCGTGATTGGGCATCAAGCCCTCCCTTACCCACCCTTCCAAAGCCCTCGCAGTACCCGGTTCCGGAGCTGTGGGGGTGGCGGTTGCGGCCCCGTGGCTAGTGACGCATTGGAGCGGAAACCAAATGGCGACAAGGCAAAACAAATCCTCCCTTACCCACCCTTGCTGCACGGTTTGGGTTTCGAGGGCAAGAATTTCCTGCTTCGGCCGGATCGCAGGTCTGCCTTCGCGGTCTGGGCCATATCCTTGCCGGTTGACCGGCCAGGGCCGCCTTCGGGACCAGTGCGCGGCGGCCTGCCGCCGTGGTCCACAGAACCTTCCAGCTACCTTCGGGTCCATGTGGGCTCGGGTGCGGCCACTGCCGCGTGCCTGCTTCGGCGGCTCGCGGGGGCTGGCGCTTGTGCTCACCGATGGTTTGGCCCGGGGCAAAGCCCACGCCCATCGTAGAACCGTCTCACCTGTGCCAGCGTGCTGGGCGGGTGTGGCGGGGTGTGCACAGGTTGAGCTCCATCGAGAGGTGGAGAGATGGGGCCTGGACCTCGTGACGTGGCTTTCGGAGGGGGCCGTTTCTCCCTTTTGCCTTGGCTCCAGGCCCGGGTGCTGCGTTGTATGATGGTGCATCCTGTACGCTGTCGCGTGTGTAATGCATGCAGCTGGTTTCGGCCCCGCCGCCGGGCCCATTCCTCGCGCCTCCCGGCGCCAGGAGGCGCCGGGAAAGTCAGCTACGTGAGCTGATTCTCACCCCCCTCCCTTTGCCATCCCCCCTTTTCTCAGGAGGGGAAAAAACACACAGACACAATTAATCGTCGATTCCCAGAAAATATAAGAAAATATGGGAAATGGGGGAAAGACAAAAACCCAGAAGATATGGGAAAATATGGGGAATATGTTTATTTGTGTGTATTTATTTGTGTGTCCTGGGGCCCCTTCACTTTCGCCCGGCCCGCTGCCTTCCCGGGCGCCACTCCTCGGGAGGTCCGCCTGGGGCCTCGTCCTCGGCAGCGGCCAGCAGCGCGAGCCTCTCTCTTGCGCTCGCAGGCGCCCCGCTGGGGGGAGGGGCGCGGCCCGCACCGCTGGCGCCCTGCGGCGCGAGAGGCCGGTGCGGACCTTCCTTGTGAGAGGTGGGCCTGCTGCAGGAGCCCCAGAGGTGCGGACCTTCCCTGAGAGGTGCGGACCCTCCTTGAGAGGTCGGTGCGAACCTTCCTTGACAGGTCGGTGCGGACCTTCCTTGAGAGGTCGGTGCGGACCTTTCTTGAGAGGTCGGTGCGGACCTTCCTTGAGAGTTGCGGACCTTCCTTGAGAGGTGGGCCTGCCCAGTGTCTTGACAGGGCCGGCTTCGGTCCCCCCCTCCCGCGATTCTCGGGCGTCGCTGGAGGTGCCCCTGGCCCGAGGTGCCCCCAGCTTTTCGCTCCCTCTCGGAGCCGCCGGCGCCCTCTGGACCTCGCGATGGGGTGCTCCGGAGGCCGTCCGGGCTTCCCCGGGAGACCTCGGGCCAGGGGCACTTCTGGCAACGCTTCCACGATGGCGCCCCATCACAGCCACACGGGACCGATCGCCACTCCTTGGCGCCGATCGCGGCCAGGTGTGTGGGGCTCTCCGCCCCGCTTCAGGTCAGCTACAGTGCATCATTGCCTTAGGGGGGCGCTTCGGAATCTGCAAAGCATGTTGCGACTTCAGCGATCATCAACGGATTCCCACCTCGATCGTTCGCGTTGGTAATCAACTGAACCGGCACGGGTCGCTCTCCGATGCCCAAAGACATGACGGAACTGTGCTTGAGCCACAAGGCCGTCGCAGCACTGGCTCGAGATCAGTGGAATGCCAAGTTCAACATGAGCGCGCAGCAATCGCCATGCGGGTTGGATTTGGTCGATGTGATGCTGTGGCAGAGCGCGCTGCGCTTGGCACCTTTCGCAAGCATCCATCGGTGATCAGTGCCGACAACAGCCCATGACTGCCGCTCGAGCTGAATGGACACAAGTATTCGGACAGCGTCCAGCGCAGAGGTTCTTCAATCATGACACCTCACAGCACGGAAGCCCGTCGGGAACATATCGGAAGCTTTTTGGAAGCTTCTTACGAGCCTCTGGCGAGAGGCCTATGTGAAGCATCGCATTTGCTTCCCAGGAGCCGCCGATGAGCGTCGCGTGAGAATGTCATAGGCCTTTCCGGCTCGTGTCGGAAGCTTTTGCTTCTTCAGCAGCCTCCCAGAGGCTTCTCAGACGTACCCCATCGACTTCCCAGAAGCCTTTCCTCAGCGAGCGAAGAACGGTGTAAACAGTTTATTTTATACCGTTCTTCGCCCTTTAATTTCAGGAGCCTTCCAGGAGCTTCCCGAAGGCCCCTCAGAGGTCTTTCAGAAGCCTCTCGGGTCAGAAGCCCTAAGGCCGCCCCGGGGCTCCCAGCAGGCCGCTCAGAGGCTCTCAGCAGGCTGCTCACAGCCTCTCGGGAGGCCGCTGACAAACTCTGACGAGGCCGCTCCGAAGAGCGCTTTTTCAGTGACCCGAAGGACACGACACAGTCAATCTCAATTCGGTTGCAATCCGAATCCTTAGGGTGCTTGCAATCGGTGCCACAAACAGTTCGTGGACAGGCCGAACTAGTTGTAATCTGTTTCGCCCAAGTGGCCTACGCCACTCCGCCGTCCCCTCCAGGTTGGGCCTCCTGGAAGGACCTGTGGGGCATCCGGGGGAATGTTTGTCGGGCGCGGCCGAGCCGGTTGTAATCTGTCTTATTCTCCCCCCCCTCCCCCCCTTCCCTTTGGAGGCCCCCAAGAAGCCCCTCATAGGCCCCCAAGAGGCTGCCGAGAAGCTCCCAAGAGGCCCTAAGAGGACCTCCAGAGGCCTCATGCTCTTCCTCCTCTCCTCGCCCTCCTCCCCCTCTCCTCCTCCCTCGTCTTCCTCTCCCAAGTGTTCCCACCTCCTCTCTCCCCTCGCACTCGTCCTGCCCGTGGAGGCCCTGGAGACGCCCCCCCGTGCTCCCCGCCCCCCGCTCCGATCGCTCCGGCCACCGCGCGTTGGCGCGCGCCACGCGCGCGCCAGCGTCGGGGCGCGCGGGGCGCCGGCGCGCGGGCGTCGGGCGCGCAGTTTTGAGGCTCCCACCCCATCGCAGGCCGCGGCGGCGAGGAGGAGGAGGAGGAGGAGGAGGAGGAGGAGGAGGAGGAGGAGGAGGAGGAGGTGGAGGAGGAGGAGGAGGAGGACCGCTCGGGGGCGCTCGCGCGGCTGCTTTTTTTGCTGCTCGGGCGCGTGCCTGCATTTTTGCCGTGCCCCCCGCGCGGCCCTCCGCGCCGCGGGGGGGGGGGCGATCGATTTACCAGCCTGGAACATATCCCTATCCCTATGCTGGGCATCTCCTCATCACGATGCCAATCTTTGGGATTCCCTTATTTTTTGAGGGCGCATCCCTGAGATTGTCATCGCTTTTTGGCGTGTCAATCTTAGGGATAGGGATAAGTTCGAGGCTGGTAAGCGAGGGGGGCGAGGCCGGGGGTGGGGAGCTGCTGCGGGGCAGGGTCCCGCGCCCCACCCCGGCGCCGCGCAGAAAAAGGCGCGGCGGAGCGTCTCGGCTCTCCGGGTCGGGGACGTGGAGGATCGAGGATTGGGGGGCTTGTAGCGCTCGTGTCAGCATCGTTCCACCGATCCCCATCCCCATCCCCATCCGCGTCCCCATCTCGAGCCCCACCATCCCGGCCCCCCCAGCCGGGGGTAGGCCCCTCGAAACCCGAAGGGGGTAGGGCCATACCCCCGTGCAGGGCTGGGGGGGGGGTAAATCGGCCAGTGGGTCCCATTCCACGCCAGTGGGGATAGGGATCGGTGAAGCGATGCTCCTCTCTTGCCTGCACGACTCTCCTGGGGTGCCCTGGTGGGCGCGGCTGGATTCGCTTCGGCGCACGTCGGGCCAGAGCGCACCCTGGGAGAGATCCAGGGGAGGTCATTTCTTAGAGGAGCCACCCTGGCTTTCTCGCGTCGTGAAGCTCACGACGGAAAGTCTTTGGCCCTTTTCCGCGTCTGGGGCTGTTGATCCGGCCCCGAGACAGACAACCGATGACTCCAGATTAACAAGTTGTCATGCTGGGCCTGGCGCGGAGAAGAGGGCAGGGCGTCGTCGTCGTTGATGTCGTGGTTGGCAACGCCATCTTCGTGGTCGTGGTCGCCGTCGAGGGCGTCGCCGTCGTCGCCGTTGTCGTCGTCGTCGTCGTCGTCGTCTTGGTCCTCGTTGTGATCGATGCCGACGTTGTTGTCGACGTCTTTTCCGATGTCGTTGTCGGCAGTTCATGTCGTCATCGTTGTCGTCGACGCCGTCGGCTGCAGGCGACCTCGTCGTCTTGGAGGTTTCTGCTGTTTCCGGGGTCTCTCTTCGCCATGTCTGGACGCCGCTAGGAAAACTTGCCCCCTCTTAAGAGACTCATCGTATGTCCTCCGCCTCAGCTGCGTGGGCCCTTCTCCAAATGCTCTTCGCACGCTAAGTCGTAGCTATGAGCCAAAGGCAGGTGTCCTGGAGGAAGCGGGCCCGGACACGCCACTGCTCCCCTCAGGCGGCTCTTCTTCTCTGAGGGGCTTTTCATGTGTTTCCGTGTGTTATTGTACGTGTGTATGTACATGTGTGTATGCATGCATGCGTGTCTCTCTCTCTCTCTCTTTATATATGCATGCATGCAGGTATGTATGTATATTTGTATAGATACGTAGATATGTGTATATATGTATGTATGTATGTATGTATGTATGTATGTATGCATGCATGCATGCATGCATGCATGCATGCATACATGCATGTATGTATGTATGTATGTATGTATGTATGTATGTATGTATTTATGTATTTATGTATTTATGTATGTTATGTATGTGTGTACGTATGCATGTATGTATGCATGTATGTATGTATGTACGTATGCATACTTGTATGTATGGATGTATGTGTGTATGTGTGTATGTCTGTGGCCTGTATGCATGCATGTCTGTTTATGTGTATGTATGCATGTATGTGTGTATGCATGTATGTATGTGTGTGTATGCATTCATGTATGACGTATGTATGTATGCATGTATGTAGGCATGTACGTATGCATATATGTATGTATGTTTGTTTGTATGCATGTGTGCATGTCTACATGTCTGTTTGTATGCATGTAATGTAGGTGTGCATGCAGGTGTACACGCATGCATGTATGTATGCATGTAGGTATGTATGTTTGTTTACATGTATGTATGTATATATATAGTGTGATGCAATGCATTGTAATGCAATGTGATGTAATGAACGGTGATGTGTGCATGTATGTATGCATGCATGCATGCATTGTATGTATGTATGTATGTATGTATGTATGTATGTATGTATGTATGTATGTATGTATGTATGTATATGTGTATGTATGTATGTATGTATGTATGTATTTATGTATGTATGTATGTATGTATGTATGTATATATGTATGTATGTATGCATGTACGTGTTTATGTATGTATGTATGTATGTATGTATGCATGCATGTATGTATGTATGTATGTATGTGTGTATGTGTGTATGTGTGTATGTGTGTATGTGTGTATGCGTGTATGTGTGCATGTATGTATGCTTGTATGTATGCATGCATGCATGCATGCACGTCTGCATGCATGCGTGCATGTATGTATGTATGTGTTTGTGATATCGTGTCTGTAAGTTTCCCATTCTTGGGCCGAACGGCAGCAGTGTTTTGGTCCCTACAGATGCAGGCACAAGAGATGCGAGGCACTCGACTGCACACATAGATGGATCTATGCACGTAGCTGTAGCTCCCTCGCTCTCTCTCTCTCTCTCTCTCTTTCAAGAGAGAGAGAGAGAGACAGACAGACAGACAGAGAGAGATAGAGAGAGAGCTAAGCAAAGAGCCAGAGAGAGAGAGAAAGGGGGAGGACGATAAAGGAGAGAAGAGAGGTCCTCCTGCTCTGGAGGCGATCTCCAGAGGTGTCCGGATCTGCCTCTAGGTCGTTTCCAGGACTCCCCGGAGGCCTCCAGAGGTTCGAGGTGGGTCAGAGACGCCCAAGACCTCGATCTTCGATCGTCCTCGATCCTCAGAGGAGGGGGAGAGAATGGGAGGCAGAGGGAGAGAGAGGGACAGAGTGACAGAGAGACAGAGAGACAGAGAGACAGAGAGACAGAGGAGCGGTGATCCTTTCTCGTTTTCTGGGGGCGTGTGTGAGCGAGCAGTTCCTGCCGTCAGTTGCACCGCGTCCCGCAGGAGGATGACCCCACGGGCCCCAGGAAGAGGCGCAGGCGGCATCCCACGTGCCGCGGAAGTGGGAGGGATGGGAGGGGAGGGGAGCCCTCTCCTCACCTCCTCATTCTTCTCCTCCTCCTCCACCTTCCCCTTTCCTCCTTCTTGCCTCCTTCCTCTTTCATTATCATTCCTCTTTCCTCCTTCTTGCTCTTTACTCCTTCCTTCCTCGTGCCTCCTCTTTGCTTCTCCTCCCCTCTTTTCTGATGCCCTCCCAATTCATCCCCATTTCTCGTCAATCCTCCTTGCTTTTTCCTCCTGTTTCCTTTCCCCCCCCCCCAGTTTCCTCCTCATCCCCCTCTCCTCTTTCCTCTTCAATCCTCATTCCTCCTCATTTCTCCCCTTACTGCTTCAGCTGCTGTTCTTGTCCGCTTGCTCTTGCCAGGGCCGGAGCCGGGACGGGCTGGGCATGGGTTGGCACCGTAAGCCGGCCCACTACCAGAAGGCGGCATCATAGCTTCTACGCCAGTGCACAGGACGGATCCACAGACGGATCCAATCCGTCCTCCATTCATTGGCATCAAACCCATGCGAAGCAGCACGTTCTCCACTCCTCCCCCCCCCTCCTCTCCGCTCAACGTCGAAAGGCCGCAAAAAAAGACGCTTGCTTTCCTCGTCCCCCTCGAGCGTGGCGGAGAGTGCACGACCCGCTGCCCGGCCGGTCCTGCGAGGCCTCGCGCCAGGGTGCGAGCCAGGGTGCCAAGCATCGGGCGGCCCCGGGAACATCATCGGCGCGGGGACGAGGGGTCCTGGACGAAAGGGTCCTCCTCCTCCTCCTCCTCCTCCTCCTCCTCCTCCTCGTTCGCCGTGCCGGGTCTCTCGGGGCCCCTCCTGTCGGGGCCCAAGGGACGGAGGTCAGTGCAAAAAACGGCGGTCAGCCAGGGCGCCGGGTCTTGCTTGATCCTGCAGGGCCAGGGGTGCATGGGCCCGGGCTTGGGCGAAGGATCCTGCAGGATCCGGCAGGATCTTGGCCTGACTGACCGGGGTCTGGACTGACCCGGGTCAGAAGGTCCCCGGACAAGGGGTCTTGGACGAAAGGGGTCCTGGAAGTTCGTTCGCCGTACCCGGGCTCTCGGGGCCCTTCCCGGGCCCCGGGGCCGTTCAACGAAAGCCTCAGGACGATAGGCCGATCCCTGGGGAAGCCGTGGGGTCCAGGACCCATTTCCGTCTGGACGCTCTTCCGTCATGCCAATGCGGTCCAAGCCCAAGCCCAGGCGCAAGGATCAGTCGTTCCAGAGCGTTGTGGAACGCTGGGCTGACAGCCTACACCACCATAAGCTGGCATGACTACGCGGTTGACCAGTGGCATCAGCCGTCCCAGCGGCCACAAGCGCTCGGTTCGAGCGTTTCACCTGAGTGCCAAGGTGGCGCTTTTGACCCCCAAGAGCAGAGTCCAGAGTCCAGTATTTCTCCTCCTCCTGTTCCTCCTGCTTCTCATCTTCCAT